GGTGCTGTTATGGCCATCAATGTTGGATGTATCATGTATTTTTTTGTTTTAATCGCTATAATAATATATGATTATCTTACAGAGCATTCCATTCTTAGTTATTTCATTGCAGTTAATTTTTACAAAATTTTGTTGAATGTTCAGTAAAGTATTATAATTTATTCATTTTTTAGAAATTATTTATAGTACTTCAGTAACGCATTTTGCGGCCTGGCGTGAGCGTTTTTCATTGTGGACAGTTCCGTGTGCTGCAAGTAAATACTTTGTATTATATTTTGATGTAAGGAACAATGGTTTCATATATATTGTAATTTTTATCTCATGAGATTACAGTTCCGTTGAGAGTTGCGTATTATTGGGAAGTATTAATGTGATATTTGTTTTGGGTATGTTATCAACGCATTTTTTCCAATATACGATGTGCTGTTTCACATTTTCTAAATTCTTGATAGCATTTGCGTGTATTTAGTCATCCTTTTTATTAATGATATACATTTTGGCCATGATCTAATTTTTTCAGCTGTTATCCCAGCAGCATTTAGTTATTCTTTGGGTATGACGCCTTTACAAGCAATGAGAGGTGGATTTATGTTAGGGTTCGTCATTTTGCTGTATTCTATTTTGCGCTCTTCACTTTTTCTTCAGCAGTGTATCACAATTGAGAGAAGCAGTTTAATTTTGCCTTCATTGTAGTATAGATTCAAAACATAGCTTATATCTTACAGATTCGTGATTATTTTCCAGTATTTTATTTTGTTCATATCTATTTTCATTTTTATTTCCTTACAGTAAACAGTATAAAAGTTTCTAGGAACCATGGAAACTCATTTACTCTATTTAATTTTCCCTCACCGAAGTCTGTATTATTTACAGCACTCTATTAAGCTTATCATTTTGAAGATACATGACTTTGATCATCGACTTGCATAAATTTGAAAGCATATCATCTTTGTAAAAACTATCCTTAATCTTGAATTTCAGGATATGGATATCTTTGACAATACTTAGTGCTTCCGAATATTATGATATAACAGTTGATGAGACGTACAAACTTTTTAAAAACGATTGTGAAATTAAGTTAATCGAGGAAAGAAATAGTGCATTGCATAAATTCATGAAAGAACATCATATCTATAGCAAATGGTTTGGGAAATGGATGATGAATAAATATCAAAGAAGAGATGAGGAACTCGGTAAATTGTCAAATAACATTATTGATGATGTACTGTAAGATTGAGATATATTTTTTAAGTATTTCTGATACCTGTTGTTATAAAATCATTGGGACGAGTTATTTAAGTTGATGGTAATAGCACTAGTTATTAGTTGTGTATTGCGCTGTGTTATGTGAGTAGGAGCCATTATAATCATTTGATAAACATATTATCTTGTTGGTACATAGTTTTTATTGTGTTAGTTTATATAATTGTAATTTTCATAGATTGTTAAGCATGTTTTATCATGATAGTGCAAAATCTAGCTACTCTACTAGTTTTTATTGTCTTGATATTCATATTTACTAACTAGTCTTAGGTGCTTTAAATTATCTAAGTTACTGTTTATTTGATGTTATGATTTGTTTAAAATGTTACTGTCGCAGGTTATTATTAAATAAAAACTTTGCGATCTTGCAAAAGTGATAATGTCAGTGTTCATAAGACTCATTCTTTCAAGTGAAAATTTCGTTGAACAATTTGCAGAAATTAAAAATCTGGGTGCGTGCTAGATATTAGTTTTGGCGAATCCAAAGTTTATTCTGAAGTGTTTGTCATTTGCGCTTTAAATGTTTTGCAAATGAATCAGGTAATCATCTACTGGAAACTTTTTCCTCGGAATTTCTGAGGGGAATAATGATGCCAAACTACAAGGCTTGGCCTTAGTTGTATTCTAAATACTTTTTCAAATTTCATCGCTTTTTGCTGAGAGCACAATGTAAATGCATCTGAATATTTCACTAGCAAATCTGGAATCTTTCATGCTTGATGCCGAATGCAGCGTCAGATTCCTCAATTTATTCATTTTAGTTTTGTAATAATTGTTTTGTAATTCTATTTCAAGATTAGACTGTCGAAATGCCTGCTAGAAATCAAAAACAGCAGAATACAAGGCAGCATTCAAATGTTGCGGAGTTTTGTGATATATGTTTTGGTATATCAGTGCAGTTCGCGCGTAAATGTCTTTACTTAAGAACAGATCGAAAAGCAGTCTTCCATTTTTTGGCTGTATTATTACTTTCATTAACTGCTATATTTGTACGCTTTCCTGATCACTACTATTTCGTACAGGTAAGTTTCATTGTAATATCTAAAGATGTGCAGTTTTCCCAGGAAGTATGCGCATTATTTGTCTTTTCACTGTTCAAAATCATTTTATTTCGCCTTTTAGTGGTAATATGATTTTGGACAATAAGATAAAAATTTTTGGGAATGTTCATTTACAGAAGAAATTTTGGGAATCAGGCAAAATTGTGGCAACTGAATTTGATGGAGTGATATTATGCATTGTTTCACTCATTAAGATTAATTTACCATTTTCATTTACAGAAAGACAATATTTTAAACCACTATTTTGTGAAATTGAGTTGGTTCTGGACGTGCATTGTTGTATGTCCATTTATTTGGCACGTTTCGGTTGCTACTGGACAAAGCTTGTTTGGTTTGTTATAAATTTCTTCCTTAGTCTTTTTGAATGGTTTAGAAAATCAAAGATTGTTACTAATTTCGTGTAATTTTCAAAACTTTTAATTTCTTCTAGGCTGATGTTTTTGCAATTATTTTTAGTAAAAATTGGTCTCTGCAGATTGTATTTTCTTGTTTTTTATCAATAAAATTTGAAATTTTAGGGATTATATTAAATTTAAGTCGCATGGTAGTCGCTACAATTACTTGGTATTATTGTACACATGGGTAAGTTTCTCAGATCTATACATGTTGGATAAGTTAGTTTCCCATAGATTTTAGTTTATTTCCTTTCGTTTTATTGATGGAAACTGAAGCATTTGAATCAAAAAACTTTTAATTCTTTGAAAGTTAAAGAGAAATTGTCATAACTATCTTTTTAATGGCACCTTACGAAACACGCCATAAATTCAATTCTGGAAATTTATTATCATCACTATTTGTGTTATTAAGATTTTCGATATTCGAACGAATGACTGGATATTGTCATGGATCTAAATTGAGTCCTCGTTCATCTTGTGCTGGTGATGGTGGTAAATGGGTGCCAGGTTTTGATATCAGTGGCCACTGTTTCATACTTATCTATAGTATTCTTATCATGTGCGAAGAAGTAAACTAATATTCTAATCAAAGAACGTTCATTGCAGAAAATTTATTGCAGAATTTTCACAATAATTTTGTTTTTATTAAAAGAATGCAAATATATCCTCTAAATACTTATTACTTTCAGATTTGATTACTATTTATTTATAATTTTAACTTATTTTAAAATTTTTCAGGCATTAGCTTTCCGTCATATAACATTTTCTCATCGTTCACAAAGGACTCCAGTGCAAAATGAGAATCTGATTAAAATTTACTTTCTGTCCATGTGTGCTCTTCATCTTCTTTGGGTAATTTTTTGATCTGTTTTCAAAGAGAATTAGTAATTTTAGTGTTCACAAAAGACAGTCGCAAATATTTAGAGAACTAATATTTTGTAAAAATAGTAGTAGTTCAAAAAATGAGATGTAAAAAAGCATCAGTTATCATTAGCTAAAATCTTATGCAGGTATGAAATTAATGTGAACCTGCAGTTGGATTGTTATGGGTCTTAAAGTAATTTAAAATCATGATAATGGTATTTCACACGGTGTTGGGATTTCTTTGATTGTTGACTTCACTTCCATTCAGTTGAAAGATCATTTACAATTTTTTTAGGATTTCGAGTTATTAATCTCAGCGCTCTATTATCACCATATAATTCACAAAATTATGGGTTCGCTAGTTGCTATTCTTTGTTGGTACTTCACGTATCACGTTTGGTTCAGGAAATTTGGAGTTCCACCTCTGCCTTGGCAACCGCGTAAAGTATCTCGTTAATTGATTTACTGCGATGGTTCTCGATTTTTTTTTTGTAGTGATGTGATTATCATCAAGTGATTGGTTTCTTATTGTTCAAATTAAGAAATTTCAGAACCCTGATATTATTGCTAATACTTTCTCAGAAGTAATTAATGCATCTATTGTTATCAAAAAATCTTTATTGCGAAAATAAGAATCATATAATGGAAAAGTGCAAATAATTTGTAGGTCATGTTTCCACCATAAACTGCGATCACTTGATGACAGCACGTTATTATTGCTTCAAATATTCATATGTCGATTTAATTTTTAGATTTTAAAATGGAATAAGATAATTTGTGTGTAGTATAGCATGCATTATTAACATGGTTTTGAGCATTGTTTTGTATTTTAAAAAAATCATAGCAAAGGTAAGGGAAAGCAAACAATTCTATGAAAGGTGCACTTACGAATTTAGCGAGCGAAATGAATAGACATCATTCAGTACAAGAAGTTAACTGTGATTGGAAAGGTAAACTTTTGCAAACAGAAAGATTGGGTAGGAATACGCTTTATGTTGCAGAAGGAAGTAATGAGAAGTAAGAAGTGTAACAGTGCAATTGTCAGAATACAAACTTGAAGAAAAGTAATCGTCGAGTAGCACAGAGAAACATGATAAGTTGTGTTATTGTGTATGCAAGGACCATATACAGGCAAGTTATTAATATTAATTATACGCCATACATTTGTTATAGAAACTCAGAAGTTATTCATACGACGTACGTCTAAGGAATAATGAAACAAGTTTCAGAATATACTCATAAATTCAGAATACATATGAATGTTCTCAAAAGAGTAAAATTTTTAAGACGATAGAATGCGTGAATGAAACTTGTTTCTACAACCTAGAAACAAGTTGAAAGCTAATTTATGCAACATGCAAATTTTTAAACCAGGAAAAAGTAAATGTGTGAACGTTTTTTTTCATGTCGGAAATTATAAGAAAATATCTTTATAACATACGTGACCTTCTGTGATTCGGAGAAATATTCACTTTTTCTTAAGAAATACGTGACAGGTAGATGTGAAAAAATTTGCATAGAGACAAAGAAATACAAAGTATGGTTTCGATCTATTAAAGTATGGATATGTACGGAAGAAAGAGACGGGCTTGGGCGGAGAGAAGCGTTTTGAGCGGATTGGGACTGGCAGATCTCCCTCTTGCTTCCCCTTCCATATTTCGCCATCTCATTTTCCTAGTTGCAACTCCGATAGCGCGGACGACAGCTGCTCCGATCCAAGAAGGAGATTACTTAAGCACGTGTACATCACGTTGCCTCTCCGTGTCGGCTCAACTTCAGCCTCGTCATCTCAACCGGTATGTTTCAGTAGTTTCATTTCCCGGTTCTGTTGTAAATGTTTCATCTTGAAATGATTTTAAAAAACAAGTAGTTACAAAAGAAGATATTTTTTATAACAGTTGCGGTCTTTTATACTGATTTATTTGTTGTTGGATAATTTAAGATATAAATACTTCATTGTTGAATATTTCAAGATGAAATATGTAGCATTTATTGTAAAATGTGAAACTGTATTATGTACACATATACTGTGTTTCCTTCACAGTTTTCTTATAATGCTGGTTGGTAGGTATTTTTAAGGTTCTAAATTTTTTAAATTTTTAATCTTCTTAATTACAGTTCTGTGTGTCAAACTGTGACTGTTCTTTTTGATTATTTTATTCTAGAATGTAGTTTATTCTTCTGTATCTCTTACTAGCGGATTGTTAAAACTGTAACTATGTCTTTTTCTTTCGATTCCTCTTTATTAAGTTCGATTTTTTGAATGATAACATTTATATTTGTGTATTCGTAGTTATAGTTCTTATAGTAAGAGTGTTTCAAAAGAAAGCCTTTTTGTATTTTCGGTTGACACTGTATTTTTTGGATTGTGATCATAGCTCTCATTGGTTTTTCACATTTTTTATTTTACTTTTATGAGTTGTTTTTGTGTTGTCTGCGCTGCTTTTTTTCTTATATGTGTGTAATTGTTATTGGAATTGTGATTATTTCTATTTTTTTTACCTTGTATTGTTTGCATTTCAGTTGCAAAAATTATAACTATAATTTCTGGTGTGTTTCTACTTGGTATATATACTTGCATAATCTATTATGTTAAAAGAAGGAAAAGGGGAAACTGGAAACGAATAATGAAAAAGGTGTGAGAAATGGGAAAGGAACAGAAAAATGTTAGCGAAAGAGAAGAAAAGAATTACAGAAAGATAAACAAGAATATTAAAAAACCTAAGAATATATTAAATATACATGCACTATAATAAAATTGAAAGACTGAATGAAAAATCAAATTGTTCCGCATTCTCATTCTTCTTTTTGAGTAAAATATCAAGCAGAACTGAATTGCACTGGTAGTCTTCTTGTTTTTGCTTTATATCTTTCATTTTGTACATGGGGTACCTCTTTATTGTGGTTGCTTGTATTAGTGCTTTTTATATTTTATATTTAGTATGATACTGTTTTTAAATTCTACTTGCACTTCTTAAACTGTAAATTCTATTATAGTACTTAAGGTTTTTAGATAATGTTTGTATTTTCGAGTGTATCGATCTTACTTGTTTTTGTGATCAATCAAACTACTGAATTTTTGGTCACATTTTTTTTTGCTCCGATCATAATTATAACTCATGAATTGTATTATAGTACTCAAAGTTTTTAGATAATGTTTGTATTTTTCAGTGTATTGATTGCATTTGCATTTGTGACCCATTATAATATGAGACATTTCTTGTTTTTTGCCTATTATAGTTGTACTTTAATAATGTATTGCAATTATAATTGTTGAATTGTACTTGCATTGATCGTTTTTGTATCTGCAACCAATTGTACTATCAAGTTTATGGTCACATTTTTTGTTTTTTTTCAAATTGTGATTGTAATTTTTGATTTGTAGTGTAAATATTATTTACCGTAGTTTAGTTAGTACATATGTAGTTGCATTGATCGCTGTTTATTTGTGACCAATTATAACATTTAATTTGTGGTCACATTTTTTTCCTACTGATCGCGATTGTAATTTTCCATTTGTATAATTATACTTGCTGTCTTTTTTAATGATGTTTGTGCTACTTAAATTGTAAATATATGTTTGTTTCGTTGTGTTTGTGATCACATTTATGTTTTTGAAATCGTAATCATATATTTTTTGCTTTCTTTCGGATTACATATTTATGATATTTGAAGTCTTGCGTCGTGATGATATTTATGCTTCTTATGTTTGGCGTTCATTGTACTTTTATTTTAGCTTCTGCAATTAACGTAATATTTTGTCTTCATTTTCTGTTTATTATTGCATTTCTAATTAAGTTTATGGAATATTTGTGATTGCATTCTATTCATAAATATGTTTTTGCACTTTTTGATTGAAACTGTCATTATTTTTTTGCCTTTTGATTTGAGCTGGAAATCTTGGAAATCTAAATGTTTTTTTCGATTACAGTTCTATTCATTATTTTTTGCATTTCTCGTTTTTTTGAGTGCGCTTTTGAATTGTGGCTAAGTTACTTGGATTGTGATTCCATTTCTTGAGTTGTAGTTATATATTTTTCCGCTGTATTTCATTATGAATGTGTATTTGAAACTTCATGCTAAGGAGTGATTATGATAAGTAATTTTATACGTTTTTCAGTTTTTTGTGTTTCATGTCTGTTTTTTGAAATTTCAATCTATATTTCTCGAATTTTAACTGCATTTTTGTTTGTGAAATGTACTGTTGTCGGTTAGTTTTGTATTTTTAAGTTTATAACTGAGATTTTTTTTAACTTTTCGTGTTTTATGATCGTGATAGATGCTGCTATTGCTCTTTCAATTTCTTTTTTGATGTCAATATTTTTATCTCTGAAATCACAACTGCTTTATTTCTTAGCATGTTTTGATGGCAATCGTAATCTTAAAACTGCAGCAATACTTGTTGTTCTTCTGTATTTGTGTTTGTCAGATTTCTCATCACTTTATTCTTGTTATTGTAGCTATGATTGTTTATTCTGATTTTTTGGCTTTTTATGATGTAATTATGACTGTAGTCATGTTCCTTAACACGTAACTCTTTTTGTATGTTTCATTGAATATACTGTTTGAGTTGTGACAGTAGTTTTTTGATTGCAGTTTATGTTCCTTAAATTGTAGTGCATTTCTTCATCTTCTGTGTTTCTGTATTTTAAATCTGATTTCTCCTTTTAGAAGTTCTTTTTCTTTAGGTTGTCATTACAGATGAAACTGAAGTTGTTTTTTTAATGTCAGTTTTTGTGAACTGTAATTGTTACTTTCTTACTTCTTTCTTACTTTTTCAAATTTATTAATGTACTCGCAAATTTCATTTGAACTCCTTTTTTAGTTTTTCTTATTTTTTGTGCTGCAAATGTAATTGTTTAACTTTACTGTCTCTGTTACTGTATTTAAGAAGTTATTTTTGTTTCTTTAGCTGTCCTTCTTCTTTTTTCCGAATTGAATATGTAGGAGTATAGTTTCTGTGCTTGTTGATTGCTGTTGTGCTCCTTAAACTATAAATGTGATTTCTGGTTTGATCTGAAAGCGGAATGGAACTAGAAATGAAATTCAGTAAAGAAGAGAAGACAAATGAAAAGAAGGACAAAATATTAAGAGATTAAATTAGGGAAAAAAGAAAAGTAACTAAAAAAAGGAAAAACAATGTCAAAAAAAATTCAATAAATGAAAAAGAAGTTCGAAATTACTTGTGCTCCATTGTTACATTTGTTTTTTGCTTGTAGATGTAGCTGCTCATTTTGTTTGCAAAGCTACATTCAATTTTCATCACTTGTATGTAGCTGTGGAATTCCAACTAAGGCT